TTGCTACGCTTATGAGAAGGTTGAGCCAACTTCTCGTTAAATAAACTGTGTAATCTTTGAGTACTCATATTAGTTTTAATCTGAGTTTTGAATCTTAATTTAAGTTACCATGGCCACAATTTGTGATTTATTATGTGAGCACAGGATAGTCCATTTATATTCAAAGTACTGATATGATAAACGGTTATTTTTAACCTTCTGAAGGCTTTGTTGTTATCTTCAGACACATCTTTAATTCGTTCTACGTCTGCACAAACTTTGGAATTAGTTTATGCAACTAAGAATACGAAATTCTATAACCTCAAATTTGAATACATTTTTAACTCTCTGAAACTTCCGTGCATTCAGACATCGACAGGTCGCCCGAAAAGGCTGTACCCGTTTTCTACCTGGTGCTTTTCCTCCATTACGTTAATGCATGACTCATTGCCTTCAGGAGTTGTTAAATGGCATCCCAGTCATTCTTTAGAAGTGATTAAAAGTATACAGTGGTCATCAAAATTAAAGAATAATGACAGAAATAAAACGTAACTGATACTGAACAAAAAATTATTAATAGAAATTTGTACAAAAGTATTAGATTACATAAATTACAATGTTTGGCATTTGATTATTCGCAAAATATTGAAATTAAAACCAAATTTATGAAAATTGGAAATTGATGGAAAAATTAAGTCACCTCTTGGGGAAAAAATGTTTGTATGACTTGGTGCATGGTCATCTCGGATAGACATGCTTACCTCACATCTTGATTTCATAGACATTGCCATAGTATTGATCAAATCTTGCGGGAACGAACTCTTCTAAAAGTGAACTTTTTAGATCCTGGATGTAACAGGGAGGAATTCGGCTTCCTAAGACATCTCACACGTGTTCAATGGGGTTCAAGCAGGCTCAGTAAGGTAACCGAGCCATTTCGACTGATATCTTCTTTCGCAAGCCTTCTGACACCATATATGTTGGATAAGACCGAACATTGTCATCCATTAGCAAAACCTCTGGGTCAACAGCACCCCTAAACAGTCTAACTTGGGGCTCCAGTACTTCGTCCACATATCTTCAAGCGGCTACAGCACCACCTTTAAAGGTATGGAGCTCGGGGCGACCATTTGTCATGATTCATTCTCAAACCAACGGTCCGCGGTCGCGAAAATGGGGTATTTCAAGGACAATTGAAGACAAATTGCCTGTTTCTTCCTCTCTCCAGGTCAAAATGTATTTGGAATCGCTGTTCAGACTATATCTGGATTCGTCAGTAAGCAACACACGGCCCATTTGGCTTGGCTTCATTGAAGATGACGACGGCACTGGATTAAACCAATCCCTCTGGATGCTGCAGTGAATGGGACAAAAAACCATTGGTTTTCTCACACGCAGTCTAGTCTCGTTAAGTCTTCGTGCAGCAATAGAACGGCTAATTTGAGTTCCTATGATAGCCTGAAGGTGTAAAACCAAATCTCTTGTAGTCGCTTCGCGTTTTCTTTGAACCGACAACGATAGAAAACGGTCTTCTGACCTGGTTATTGCTCCTGGTCGCCCTTGATCAAGCTATCTTTCAATTAATCCAGCGCCTAAAACGCGACTCCAAACTCTTGATATAACACTTTGAGGGACATTCAAATCTTGGGTGACTTCCATCTGTGTTTGGCCTTCCTCGACTATCCCAATTATTCGCCACGTTGACCCTCACTTAAATAACGTCTTTGAGCCAAAACTACTGAATACTGATCACTCTTAGAAACCGCATTCCCTTTAAACAACACTACAGAGCGGAATTCCAACATGCATCCATTGCGCACGGCATTGTCAATCACTGAATTTGCATAATTCCGGCGCTAACGTATGCGCGGGAGAGCAGTTTTATGTCACTTGTATTTAATTAACATAATGAGCATAAGGGAAGGCATCTCTTCTCTTAGGCAGATAGCACTCGAGAGCTTTACCATAATCAAATAAACCAAACCGTCAAGCCGTTATTAAATCTTTAACGGCTGTTTTGCATCCAGAATTTTTTTAATTGTGACCGATAGTAAAATTTGCTTTAGCACTTCAAAGGCGTTTCCCGCCTCTCTGGGCCATTTAGATCTGGCCATTTTTTCATTCTAACGAGGGGTTCTGCAATACCCGAGGAGCACAATCCGAAGAAATAAACTAAATTTTTTGCGGTCTTAGCGCTGTGAAAGTGCTCCACCGCGAGAATTTCTGACACATCGGACTTAATCTTTCTTGGGCTATTTTAAGCCTCTGTATCTTAATTCCTTACATGTGAACTTACATTTTTCAATATTAAAGTTCGCTCTCATATCATCGATAATACTTTGCGTTCGATCAAGGACAAATACTTTGCGGAAAACCTCTGCATGCTTTTCTACTGATTCTTATGTAATGTCTTCGAGGCCAGATGAAGCAATTTTGTTTCCAGTACCTGCAGCAAAATAAGACTCGGTTTCAGATTATTCAATTATGGCAAAGCAAGCAAGGGCTATCAACCTAAGGGGAAAGATGCCTTCGTGGAGGATTTTCTAAGGGAATTATTACGAAAAATTACTGATTCGCATTGCGTGCTTAATTTTTGGAAGCCAATGTGTATTGCATTCCTAGTTTTCTGGCAGATGCTTCATTAAAAATATTTCTATGTTTATAGTGATCCGTATTATTCCCAACCCAGAGGTACTAAACCATTATGCTGCAAATCTCGTCTGCAAATATAACATTACTCCAATGCGATAAATCATTGCTTCCCGTGCATTTTTTGGGAATGTCAAGAATGTTTTCTTTGTTTGCTTCTTGACAAAGAATTTCATTTTGCTGATCGCCCATTGTTTCTATGCCTTCTAATAATTCTTCTAGCACTTTCAGAGTTACCTTTTATCACAAAACCGTTCTTTTAAATCCGTTGCAAGTTTTGCAGCACTAATTTGGGGGTTTTATTTGAATTTTCGTACAATAAATCTCCGATTCCTTCGTATTCACTTGAAATCTGGTCTAGACTTCAGTTTATTTTGTAAAGTTTCATGCAGTGAGCCTCGTTTTAATACATCAAAGGTAGCTAAACGCTTCATCGCAGACGTTTTGGGTATTTTGAACACTTTTACCATTTTTGAAATTGTAAGTAGTTGCATCTCTAACAGAACTTGTCGTTAATTCATAGCATCTCTTCATTTTCACTTCAGATACGGTAATTTTCATACTTTTGCTAAACACATGTAATATTGCTAACTTCAGACAATAATCTCTGAAATGTATATTCATTTAAAATGGAAAATTATGATAACAAGCATCGTTTTTCAAAACTTCTCAATAAAATTTTCGAATGTGAGTTATTGTTTAAAACTCTTTAAATAATTTTATATAATATAATTTTTATTATATAATTATTTTATTATTTTTATTATATTATTATTTTTTATTATTTATTATTTTTTATTATTATATTATTATTTTTTTTATTTTTATTATTTTGTTATTTTATTATATTTATTTTTTTATTATATTATTTTTTATTATATTTTTTATTACTGCTGTAGAGGCATTAGGTTATTTCGGAAGCAGCAGTGATGAAAAATGAGCCACGCCCTTACCGGGAATCGAACCACGGACCTCTGGAATACGCGCCCAAAGTTCAGATCACTACACTACGAAGGCATGCTAAGAAGGCGGGAAAAATACCTTATACTGCGACAAGCAAAGCCTGAAATAGAGAAAAGTTAATATGTTAGAAAGAAATCTGGAGTCTGTGTTCCACTATTTAGCGCATGATCCATGCAAATAAATTTCCAAAATACAAGTGTCGGGAAAGAAATGTGAACCATTGTGCACTCATAAATGCTTTCAGCATGAGATAGGAAAATGTGCATTTCTGCCCACTGTCATTCTTTTCTTCTTTTGAAATCAAAATATCTTCCAACTGCTGGAATTTGTTTCCCCATTTGTAGTGGCTTTCCAAAACAGAAAAATAACATTTCTTTTTCCTTCCTCTCCATTGTTTTAATGAACTGTAACAAATAAAAAAAAAAAGGTCTCAAAGCAAATCAAAAGAGAAATTCTGAAGAAATATTCCAAGCAAAAAAGAAAACTGCAGTTTTTTCCTCCCATCTATTTCGCCTCGCTACTTAACCCCCCCCCCTTTTTTTTTTTCGTCTCCTTCTCGATGCCATTAAAATTTTTGCATCGAAAGAATACTCTTTCGAGAGCTTGAAAAAAAATCAGAATAAAAGTTTTCACGTAATATTGATCAGTGAATAAAAAAAAAAAACATTTTGGCGTTAATTGCAATTTGAAATTCCTAAAAAATCGATGAGCCCTTAAAATGCAGTTCGATGAGAAGTATTTTAGCAAAATAATATTCTGTAGTTCTTGCTTGCGCGATTCACTGCCTGCATGCACAGTAAACAATCCATTTAATAGCTTTATTGAGGATGTTTCCCGTACCGAAAAGATAAAAGAATAAGAAAATCTTAAAGATAACGTTCTTAATTTCTTTCTTCTTCGCGGGTGCTAACATGTCTTTTTGACTTTTTTATAATAACAATAGATTGTTCTTTGCACATTGAGAGCAGTGTGCTCAACCCTTCGCAATAGGCTTTATTTCTTCCCAATATCATCTGATAAATTTACACATTTTATCAACGAATTATTCAAACTAAACTAGTTCTATTTGAAGTACGTAATAAAAGGCACAGAAACACCTTTCATTAATTGCAAAAATGTATTTTAATGCTTTTATTGTGTCTCCATTAGACATGCAGACTGTGAATCAGAAGTTTCAAGACTGGTTCATTTCTGAGTAGGTGATTCCGCAGGGTGGGGGGTAGGGTCTCAGGGAACGAACTGACGCTGCGGCAGTTGCCTCCGGAACCTTGGAGAGTGCGCATCGCTTGCAGCGTGAGTACGTGTCATTGACCTCGGTCGAAAAGTGGGAGAAGCGAAAATGGAACAGCACTTGGAGCAACGTTACGCGATTAAGTTTTGTGTACGACTGAACAAAATCGCCACGAGGTATGTATGACCACCAAGTATTGCCAGGTGTGATTCAAGAGGCCTCTAAGAAAGAAGCCAGGTCCTGTGCAATGGTTTTCATGTGGCACAGACGTTTCAAAGATGGCGGCGAGAATGTTGAAGACGACGACCACTCTGGGAAGCCATCATCAAGCCGAACGGATCAAAATGTGGAGAGAGTGAGGGAACTTTTAAACAATGACCGTCGTCCTAGTACTAGATTAATTGCTGATGAACTGGATTCAGTCAGAGTACGGAATACGGTGTGGAAGATTATGACGGAGAATTTGAATTATGCGAAAAGTGTGTGCCAAACTGGTGCCAAAAGTTTTGTCGGTGGATCAGAAGAAACGGCGCATGACTGTTTGCCAGGAAATGCTCCAACGGTTGAATGTTAATCCGAACCTTCTGGAGAAAGTGGTTACTAGTGATGAGACCTGGGTCTACGAGTACGATCCTGAGTCGAAGCGTCAATGCTGGCACACTGCTTCCTCGCCGAAGCCAAGAAAGCTCGCATGAGCAAGTCGCGTGTGAAGTGCATGCTGATTTTTTTTAATGGTAAAGGAGTGATTCACAAGGAGCTTGTTGCTAGTGGACAGACTGTCACAGGTGACTTTTACGCTGGAGTGATCTTCCACTCGAGGGATCGAGTCCACCCAACGATCAAGGGCGATTGGATTCTCCACCACGACAACGCGCCCGCTCACATGTCGCGTGCCGCCGCCGAAGGTTTGGTCAAGTTTAACGTGACAACACTGCAGCAGCCACCACACTACAGCCCAGACTTGGCTCCAAGTGACTTTTTCCTCTTCCCCCGAATCAAGACAGGCCTAAAAGTGAAGTGATTCCACTTCATCGACGCCATCCAGCAGGCGTCGATGAGAGCCCTTGATAGCATGACTCCCGAGGCCTTCCAGAAGGGCTATGAACAGTGGAAGACGCGCTGGCAGCGCTGTGTTGACACTGAAGGATCATATTTTGAAGAATTTTAGTCCGCTGCACTTAAATGCTCAATACATTTCTAGTTCTGAGTCTTGAAACATTTGAATCACACCCTGTATTAAAAAACAAAATAAAATTTTAATTATTAAAAAAACTTGTTTATTGCTTTTGTTAAGCAGTTACAGATGGATTAAATTTGAAAGATCTCTATTTTTAGCAAAATGGCAACACTGAGAACCGGTTATGAGAGAGGGTAATGGATGATTAAGGTATGTGCCTACATACAAAGCACTTTTTTAAATACATAAAATTTTAATTAAACACACATGTTTTTGAGTAAGATGGGATATAAAACTATGAATTTAAATGGGATTTTATAGAACGTTTCATTAACTTTTTAAATATATAGGCAATATTTAGTAAAATTTTAGTGAAAATTTTCATTACGCCAGATCTCCTACAATAGATTCTAATGAATATACTTCAATAATCTTTACGCAGTATATAAATAACATACTTACCTGTGTTCTGTAGCAAAAGATTTGTTGCACTTATAAAATTTTTTGAAATATTCAAAACTTGGTGCAAAAACTCAAAATTAAAACAAAAAATTCCTCTTTTCTTCAAAATACTGTCAATAAAATGAATAAATAAATACAAAGAGGTCAGATTTTGCTACAGAACACAGCTAAAGATGAATAAAACATTTTGGCAAAATTTCATTTCAATATTCTAAATACATTTTGTGAAATGAACGTAATCGCAATCAAAAGTAACGAAAAACACCAATTTCTCAGAAAATGCATTTAAAAATTTTAATACAGCACAAAAACTTTTGTAGCCACTTTAGACCTTTAAAAATCGCCATATTTGTATGTTAGGCCCTCTTTTACTTCATTCTTAACTAATTTTGAATTTCTTTTAGCATTTTTGTGGATAACTTTGTTGCTTGTAGAGATTGGCGTTTTTATTTTTGAATTCGCTGTTTGTCTATCCCCATGTAGCTTTCAAGCATAATGGGATTAATTTCTATTTCTATAGATCTGAAAATAGGTAAAAGTCCTAAATATCTTGAATTAAATAATAATACAGCAATATGTGCACCTAAAAGCAATGTTTTCAGTTGGACAAAAGTTTCTTTAGGTAAAATAGTCCTCAAAAGGTTATTAAAACACGCATTATTGTTTCGAGTCTTCCAATGTAGGCATTTTATCAGAAAAGTGTCACACAGTGAAAGATGTGTTGCTTTTACAGCTTTTATATTGTTTAATAATTAGAAATAGTTGTTTAAACTTATTGTTTACATTTTTACAACCATCTAAATGACAACTTCCGGCATCCAAAAATTCACTTCCGTTTAATTTTTTATACTGTAACTTTGCTTCTAGTTATCGTAAAATAAAGCATTTTTGGAAACCTAAATGTATGGCCTATAAAATTAATAAATAAAAATATTTTCGAAAAATTTCACCAAAACGATGAATTTAGGGTAGGCACATAATTAAAACTGTGTTTTACTCAAGGTAGCTCCTACCAAGGCAAATGCGTGGTAGCAAGAGGTAATGTAACGGTCCAAAAATTGCAAAAAAGACACCTCTGACAACTGGTTATGAGAGAGGCTCGTAGAAGATTAATTAAAAGCTTAGTTATTAATTAAAACTGTGTTTTACTCATGGTGGCCCCTACCAAGGTACATGAGTAGTATAACCGTGAGAGCATGAGGTAATGTAACGGTCTGAAAATTGCAAAATACCCCCACTGAGAACTGGTTATGAGAGAGGCCCATAGAAGATTAAGTAAAACCTTAGTTATTAATTAAAACTGTGGTTTATTCAAGGTAGACCCTACAAAGGCAAATGCGTGGTATAACTCATGAGAAGATGAGGTAGTGCATCGGTCCAAAATTTTCAAAATGACAACCTTGAGAACTGGTTAGGAGACAGCCTCGTGCAAGCTTAATTAAAACCCTTACTACTAATTAAAACTGTGTTTTTCTCAAGTTTGCGCCTACCAACTCAAATGGATGGTGTAATCATGAGATCATGGGGTAATGTAACGATCCAAATATTAAAGAATCAAATAAAGATATTTATAACATCAAAGTTATGTTCTACATTGACAAATGATAGCGTGATGATTTTAGATCCTTTTCTTAGAATATGAGATTCCGGTGTCCTGAGTTCTCTTTAGAATGTTGGTTTAGAACAGGGTTGAGGTCTGGAGACCTGGCTGATCAATCCATCCGGCGAATATCCCCACTCTCGAGAAATTCGTCGACCAGAAGAGCTCTGTGTGGCCTCGCGTTATCGTCCTGTAAGATGAACTCGGGGCCATACGCACCCTGGAAGAGGCGAACTTAGGGTTCCAGGACCTCATTCCTATATTTCACACCAGTCACAGAGCCTCTGTCAAAGACGTGGAGAGGTGTGCGGCCATCCAACATGATGCCTGCTCAGACCATTACACCGCCACCGCCATAATTGTTGATTTCGCGGAGCGGATCCCTTGCTCTCGCCATATGAAAATAACGGCGAGAATCGGTGTTTAAGCTAAAACGGGACTCGTCGGTGAACAGAACAGTGCCCCATTGCTCCGTACTCCAGTCACTATGCTACCCGCATCATGCTAATCGGACTCTCCTGTCCGTAGACGTGAGCGGGACGCAAACAGTCAGTCTTCTGGCAAACAACCCTCTCTCATTCAGTCTTTTGAAAAGAGTCACCCTTGTTACACGGGTTTCCTGTGGTTTCATACAGATACCAAGAGAGCTGTAGCCCGTCTGTTACGCCTCGTTAAAATGGACAAATAGCGATCTTCTCTGGCTGTCGTGGCTCTTGGACGTCCTTGCCCAGGCTTTCTCTGGATGGATCCAGTATCCTGGAACTGTTTCCATAGGTTACACACGACGCTGGGCGTTGAATTAAACTCTCTGCATATTTGGATTTGCGATTGGCCTGTCTCTAGCCTCCGCACAATTCGCCACCTCATTCCATCATCTAAACGTTGGTGGTTACTCAGTTTTACCGTTCCGATGTGAATTAACCAATTGCTGCAAGATAACACCAAGAAATTCGCCGAGGTGTGCTAAGCGAACGCAATTCGTCTTACCCTCCACACGATTATAAAGCCTATTTTTCTGCTGGCTTCGCGTATACACACGTGTACGCATATGTATTTGCCGTAAAAGGTTTGCATTTTTATCTAGAAGCAGTGGTTTTTCCTTCAGTTCAGTCCTTTTCATGAAATTCGATAAAATATGAAAATTCTCTTAATTTATTTCACCAGTGTAGTTAATAATGTTGATTCACATTTTGATTGCATTCCTCTCCCTTAATTTTTGCATTTCCCACATGTATAATTCTTCTGGTTTGGTGAATATTGGTTGACGTTTTACATATTTTTAGAAAATTTTGTATTTTACCAGTTTCGAATTTCATTTCTTTCATGTCTTTGTGGATTTAGTTCTAAATTCCTTATTTTTTATATATTTACTTATTTTTCTTATATACTTATTTCTTATATTATATATATATATATTTCTTGTACTATTGATTGCGATAAAAAGGAGAGGTGCACAACTAGATGTTACAGTAGTCTCATATGCAAAATTTCGACGTTCTACTACTAATCATTTTTTAGTTATGCGAGATACGTACATACGTACTTACAAACATCACGAAAAATGTCCCTTTTAAATTCATTTTATAGTCCGCTCTGGAAACCAAAGCCCTTCATTCCGTTCATACTTCATGCAAGAAAATCGTCCAAATGGATTCAGGAATGATCGAATTATAAATTTAGCGAAGCAGATTTAAATAAACTGAAACGTATCTGAACTTTTATACGGAAATAAAATTTGAAAAATTAAACGGAAACATATTCACAGAAAAATATTTATAAAAATTATACAGTATGTTAATATCAATGAAAATATAACATGTATAATGAGCTCAACACAAGATGACTTTCATTTCGTAATAAAAAGAAGAAAATGTATCTTAGGCTCTCCGATTAATCTATATTGCTTAAATTAAGCAGACTGATTTATACTGCTTAAATATTGAAAAACGTGGATTGAATAGGACTAAAAGTTTTGCGGTCTACCCAACCCAAGCGAAGAATGATTCTATTCGGGAAATTTAACGGTCTGTTCAAAATTCGAATCAAAAACACCCCAGATTAGTAAGTCTCTTTCTTTTCCTTTATTTAGTTCTTTATTCTTCGAATACCGGCAGCTGTTGATTCCGATTCCGATTGCGTAATATCACATATGGTTGAATTACGCCGCACGTATTGCGCAATCAAGATCAGCAAAATACTTTCCTATAGGATATTTTAGAAACCTTGTTGCGCAGTAATGTTTGTGGTATTTTGCATTTGCTGAAAATTACTTTTTTAACTGTCGCACAATTCGTAGCTATGTGTGACTAAAACAAGGCTCCTGATGGTTTGGTTT